CTGGCTGAAACAAAGGAAACCTGATGCATTCATTAGCAGTATTATGCAATGTTCCACTGGTGTGATAGTCATAATTAGGTCATGTGTGATCTGCAAGAGCGTGCTACTTCGGATTTAGTAAAAGAAACTCGAGCGGCAACAAAAAGAAAAGAAAAGAAAAGAAAAGAAAAAAGAAAATCGAAATGTAATGGCTAACCTTGGATTGACCACAAGGCTGAAAGGTAGGCAGCATGGTGGCGAGCTGAGAGACTCATGGTGCCTGTTGAGAGCCCAAAAAAAATTACCTCAACTCAGCTTCGAGGGATGATCATAGCATCATATCCATACTTGTCAAACTTTCTTCCAAGTGGGCTAGTATGGGCTCCGGGAATTTTCTGAACTGCCCGGATCTTCGGACCTTGAGCTACGTTGCATCTCTCTTCCTGTCTCTCCTTGCTTGGCTGGTGCATACCAGACGACCCTGTTGGAGAGCTTAATGCCAATATGAGTAATGGAATGTAATGGGTATGGTGATGTGACAAATCACGGAACCAGGGCGATCTGTACCGCATTAGCTTGAATGTAATAGAGGCGATCCGGGTGTTTGAGCTAAAAAAAATTGACTGGAGGGCCATAGAGGTGACGGGAATTTCGATAAACCCGAAAATACCGAGCCCTTGTTTGGCGCTGGGTTCCCTTCCCTCTCTTTGGATGGATGGAGTTGAACTTATTTTTTATGAAGCCCTGCATCATGAGTGCCTGTTTCATGAGTGTAGACGACAGGGCCGTGCGGTCAAAGTGCAGGGCCTGGTACCGTGTACACACCAGCTGTGGAATGCTAGCATCAAGTAGGGCAGGTGATAGGGTGATGTCAGCCCAGTAGCACTGTGAGAGCAGCATACTCCTTCCCTAAATTTCTCCTTTTTCTCCTGCACATCTCTGTGTCCCTATTGATACCGTGAAACGTTGTTCGTCTTTCCTGACTATCTCCTTTCGGCAACTTGTAGCTTGGTCAAGCTTTCACTTTACTGTTTCTCACGAGAAGGAGCAGAGAAGTAGGCAGGCCTGACTCCTCTTACCAAGTGGCAACCCGTCCAGAAAGCCAGCATGATGTCGGAAGCCGAAAAAGCTCGTATATCCCCTTCTCTTCAGAGTGTTACACAAGAGGAGTTGGAAGATCAGGCTTCCCTTAATGCAGGTCACAGATCGAGGTACCAAAGGTGGGCAGGGTGTATCAAAGGCCTGGAGGCGCGTGGGATTGAGCCAATACCGCTTGAGGAGCGCCTGAAAACCAGCTCATCAGCATCGCTTCATATGCTGCTTATGTGGCTTAGCATGGGAATGGCCTTGAACAACATAGTGGTTGGATCACTGGGCACGCTGGTAATGAAGCTGAGCTTTGCAGATGCTGCTCTTTGCGCAATATTTGGAAATCTTTTGGGAGGTATGGCAGTCGGGTATATGAGCACCTGGGGACCCAGAAGTGGGAATCGCACTCTTGTATGGTTCATCCGTTGCGTATAAATTCTGTCCGTCCCTGTCCTGTTACGAAAGGAAGAGAAGTACATACAGCTCACTTGTCGTCGATAGATAGTCACCCGATATTTTATGGGGTATTACCCTAGCAAGGTGTGCTGCTCGCTGAATGTGCTTACAAACCTGGGTTATGGAATGATTAATTGTATGATCGGTGGACAATTACTCTCAAAACTATCCGGTGGAGCCGTGTCCGTTGTCGTTGGTATCATCGTTGTCGCGCTTGCAAGCTTGGTGATGGCTACATTTGGAATGCAGATCTTCCAATGTTATGAGAGGTATGAACCATGCATTGGTGCCTGCCTTTGTCAGATTCGCTGGTGCTAACTCAGCAATGCGAACGCTTGCAGATATGCTTGGTTCCCGCAGTTGTTGGTATTCTGCATCATCATCGGATCGGCAGGGCCACAGTTTGATTTCCAGAGTTCATCGGTTGGATCCTCGAACGAGGTCAATGCCAAACGTTTGGCATTCTTCTCCCTTTGTTTATCTGTAGCTCTCGCATGGGCGCCGGTAGCTGCAGACTACTATGTCTACTACCCGCCGACCATTAGGCGATGGAAAACATGGTCGATGACCACGATGGGAGGATGCTTGGCGATGATCATCACTCTTCTCCTTGGAGTTGGTCTGGGAAGTGGAGTGGCGAAAAACCCAAAGTGGGCTGAAATATATGATGGTACGCCGGCGAGTCTGTTGATGGCTGGTTATGGCAGACTTGGTGGCTTTGGCAAATTCTGCGCATTTATCAATGTCGTGGCGGTGGTCTCCTGTAATGCCCCCGGATCCTATTCAATGGCTATGAATTTCCAGATGCTCGGGAATGTATGGTCGAAAATCCCGCGTCCTGTCTTCACTGTTACTACGACAGTGATATACACGACATGCGCCATTGGAGGGCGAGATTTCCTATACGACATTTTCAAGAGCTTCCTCCCACTGATTGGTTATTGGATCATCATCTGGTTCACTATTGTTGCGGAGGAAGACTTGCTCTTTCGACGTAGCAAAGGCTATGACTGGTCCGCATGGAACTGTCGACAGAAGCTGCCGGTAGGAGTTGCTGCTGCTCTCGCTTTTTTGGTCGGCTGGGCGGGGGCAATTGTAGGGATGGTATAGTATATCCCTGATTCACCTGCATTAAGACCAGTGTTAACCAGTTCCCCTTTTCCTGATAGAATCAAGTGTACTATACGGGGCCGATTGGGAAAGCAGTCACTGGAGGCTGTGACTTGGGAATCTGGCTCGGTTTCGGTTTCACGGCCTTCGCCTTCCCTGCGCTGAGAATGGTGGAATTGAGAGTGATTGGCCGCTGAAAGAGCGTTGCTCCATGAGATGCCATCCACATGCGTTCATGGTGACTTACCCATCGGAGATTGGGGTCATCAGTCATACATGCGGTGTTTTGCTTCAGAGTCCTTGGATAGATATTTTGAATGAGATGGCTCGAATGGTTCTATGAAGGTAAGACCTCCGGTCAACAAACTCAGTATATACGTACGCATGACCGGTCATGCTCGCACCCGGGGTACCATCGGCTTGACGGAAGCTGTGTGTTAGAAGCTTGTCTCTTCGCTATGAAGATAGACAGAAATTAGAATTCGGCAAGACATGGAATGTTTGCTTCTCATAAAGCTATATGATGCATTCCAGTTATATTGCTTATAAGAAGGATCTATGTGTTAACTCGTATCACTATTCACCTGCAACCCGTCTCCATAATAGCAGGTCTCTGTCCCCGATCTTAATTTCTGTGGCTGTTTTGGCAAATAGATCATATGAGCTCCCACTGGGCGAAGAGTGATACATAGATCCTTCGACATACGCCGGTTGTAGTGGTTCAATTCTATAACTAGGAGATGAATATATGTGATGAAGTTATAAGTTCAAGAGAAGAGGAAGTGACTAGTGAGGGCAACACGTGAGTGCTCCATGTGCGCCCCAGGCCACTCACTGACTGCTCCGTGAGCACGCACCGGCAGCTCCGGTTGATCCCGGACTGTATAAATACATCTTTCGCAGCAAACCTGAGAGCACGTCACCCAAGTGATCAAGATTCAAGGGACGTGTATTATGGCGACAGACATACCAAAAGTATGTCTGTACATACAACATGTACGGTACAGAAGGATGCAAATTTTAGCACAAGTACACCAAGCTTTGCGGGGCCACTTTAGAGGCAGAGTGGTAAATGCTTGGTATCGTCCGGAGGGACACAAAACTTGCATACCCAGAGCTTTGCCCCAATGACTAGTGACGATAAGCATATTGCGCCATACTGTAGGGGTCGGAAATGAGATGACGGTGGCAAGGATCCGAGCGTCAATCCACTGGGAACACCAGCTAAAGTATCGGATCGGGCTTCCGCCAGAGTATGAGACAGTGAGCGTGCTGAATAGCAGGACCTCCATGTCGCAATGGACATTCTGATACAGCTTCCCAATTCTTTTTCTACCCAAAGCATACCTTTATCCCCTCCATTAACGCACATCAGAGATGTACTCGGACAGGGATGGGATCGCCTCAAGGGTCTACTTTAGCGTAGAGCGAAAATCGCATTTGTACCAGAAGATCCTATTCTATTTTCCGGTACAGTACGGTCCAATCTCGACTATTTCCACCGGGCCTCAGAAGAGATACTGGAAGGTGTGTTGCGGCGTGTTAAGTTATTGGCGGTGGGAGACAGCAAGGGAGCAAGATCCGGTGTATTGACTCTGGATGGACTCGCCTATCAGCGCTGGGGGCGCAAACATATCGCAAGGCCAACAGCAACTCCTCTGTTTAGCACGAATACTGGTCCAAGATCCAAAGGTCGTTGTTCTTGTCCATCTGCTAAGACGCCATGGGGTATTCTACAATCTTGTCCAAGATAGTGGGGACGATGAGTTCTTGATCCAAACGATACTAGGGTCGAGCGAGAGGGTTTCAGAGTGGAATAAAGCCATGGTATCAATTATTTTTCTTCCCCCCTCACTACTCCGTATGTCCGTGCCCGAGGTCCTTCGATACTCGGCAGGAATATTTAGGTTGTGGGGAAATATCCAGGCTGTCAATCAATCCTGAGTAATGGCGGAGGAGAACCTCGGTTTGAAATACGGAGAAAATATTGGAACACTGTCCAGTACAATGTTGACCAATAGTCGACGTGCTATTACTCTTGGTCTACTTTGTTTGAATCATAAGGATAAATGGACAAAAATATTTTATGCACAGATTCTATAAAAAATAAACTATTTGTCAAGCTAAACTCTTGGCGAGCTGAACCCCATGGAAGAGATCCGGTGACCGTGTTTGCAACTTTGCTCCTCCGCATCCCTCGGACCCTCGCCTATAAGATCATATTTAACTACTAGGTCTAGTGCTCGCCATCGGACCGGCTTGTTGTGGTTTGAGGCCTCTGACTTCTGGTGTACATGGTTCATACCCCCATTAGCCAGCCGATCTAGACTTCACAGTATACAGGTTTGTTGACATTTGGCGGAGCGATGGGAAACCAGAGCCAGCCCGTCACGGCCGGCATTAACATTAGCAATGCTGCCCCGCAAGCAATTCTAGACATTGCTCCTGGCCAGCTTCTTCCATATATCCTCGCAATCCTGGTAGCATATCCATTCCTGGTCTCGTTGCTCCGATTTCGCCGCGTACAATGGGTACACCAAAAGTTCAAGTTCCCCAACCGGGCATCCCTGGCTAAAATGACCGACGACGAAGCCTGGGAAATCCAGAAAGTGCTTTTGCAGCTGGAATTTCCGTTCATCTATATTAAAGCTCTTCAATTTGCTCTCTTCAGGGTGCGGCTCCTTTCTTTATCTTTTTTATACTTTTTTGTGGACCGTCTGGTAACCTAAATTGACCCAGTGAAGACCTACGGAATCCCCAGCATCTCCGGGCTGCTCACCAAGACCAGCCAATTCTCGAATCCGGAGACATCTTACAAGCGCTACGCCGATACAAGCGCCTTGGTCCAGGAGTTTATGGGCAACGCCCCATCGTCTAAACGGACTATCACTGCGCTCGCTCGAACCCGCTGGCTCCACAATAGCTATCGCAGCTCGGGAAAGATCTCCGAGAATGATATGCTCTACACGCTTGGCTTGTTTGCCCTCCAACCCATCCGGTTCATTGAGAGGTTCGAATGGCGAAAGCTGACCGAGCTCGAGAAGTGCGCTATCGGCACGTTCTGGAAGAGCGTCGGCGATGGTCTCGCAATCAGTTACGAGGCCTTCCCATCGCATAAGACAGGATTCCGCGATGGCCTCCACTGGCTGGAGGAGATCACGGCCTGGAGTGAAGCGTACGAGGCAAAGCACATGGTTCCCAATGCCACGAACCGGGAGACCGCGGACCAGACTACGGCTGTGCTACTGTACATGGTCCCGAAGCCGTTCCAGCACATCGGACTGTACTTCGTTTCGTTCATGATGGATGACCGCCTTCGACGCGCGATGTTGTAAGTACAACCCGAAGACAGTTGCCCCGTGTAATGATTAACCTGGGGTTAGGTACGACCCTCCCCCGGCATCATATACCAAACTGTTCTCGTCGCTTCTGTCCGTCCGCCGCTTTGTGTTACGTTACCTGTCGCTCCCCCGGCCTTATTTCCTCCGTTATACTTCCTACAGTGAGCAACCGGACCAGAATGACCGCATTTTCATCACCCAGTGGGATGCGGCACCCTATTACGTCGCGCCTACTTTCCGGAACCGCTGGGGCCCTGTCGCCTGGCTTACCTGGGCTATGGGTCGGCCTCTTCCAGGCGATGAAGGTGATAAGTATTACCCCCAGGGCTACTATCCACCTGATGTAGGACCCAAGTACTTCGAAGGCAAAGGTCGAACATCTCTAGAGGAGTACGTCCAGGGCTTGAAAGGTTCACGAACGGGCCAATGTCCGTTTATTTAAGCATGAGCACGGACGGTATACACTGCTACTGTGAGAAATCTGTTCCTTGCCATGCCATTTGCAAAGCCGGATCTACTGGGATAAGATATGGCCCAGCTAGTGAGAGAAAAGGATAACTTCATTTTGCGAGAAGGCCTACGACCCAATTCGTTGTTGTGTACTAAAGCTATGGTACTCAATGAGTCTACTTTATTCTATTCCATGAGCTATTAGATTATGCATGATTTCGGGATATGAGATTCTTCATCATGATATGCCTAAGCCAATAGAACTACTGAGTCACGCCTTGACCTCCCTGTCCTTCCCCGAGACCAATTCCGTATACCCGGTTTACATTCACCAATGCACTAAAGGGCACAAGAATACAAACACCGTTAGTAAAGCGATAATAAACCCAAGACAAACACTACCGGAAGTCTCTCCTCCACTACTCATATACTATCCTTTGATAGTTTCCAGTCACAGGACGTATATCTTTTACGACCGCCTCAACCTTCCACAAGCAATTTCACGGTCCTGTCTTAGGAATGCGTCCGTATGTATGAGTCCTTCGTATTGAACTCACCCAAGGTCTGCATACAGAGCTAGAGTTCTTCTCCAACCAGTTGCCCTGGAAGGTACGCGAAGTTCCTTATCCCATGGACCTTTACCCGGAACGATCTGCTCTTTTGGCTTCTTTGCTGCTTTAACTGGTGGTAGAATCTCAGGCATGGGTCTCCTGCGGGGTAGCCCAGGTATCAAAAGTGAGGCGATGGAGGAAGAGCTGACGGGACAAGGGATAGTGCTTGAAGAGTAAGTCAAGAGTAAGCAGTTCTTGGTGATGGGTACTAGATATTTGTATGCGGCTGTGCGTGTAGCCAGTCCAGTGTCGTCTGTAGTTCTTTCACTGACCCTGATTGAGTCAGGCCCCCTGCGTGGATAAGAATGTCGCCCTCGGCGAGAGAAGGTTGGCAATTATGGATGTCGGAAATGCAGACAACTGAGACAGGGTCTTTGACTGGTTGGGCAGCAATTGTGCTCTGCTAAGTGGAAAGCTTGCGTGCGAGAAGATGCATAGTTAAGAAGCTGGTCGAGATTATTCCCCTGCTTTCCCAGTAGTGACATCATTTAACTCACTATGAAAGTCTTGTCATAAGCAATGTCAAATGGCGTGGATGGCTTTGTAAGATGAATTTTGATTGAGGTTCTACATATAAAACAAAGGTGCTCTTGTCTGTTGGTTGTTGCAACTTGTCATTTCCCAATATATTACAAGTGCCGCCGCTTTTACGAAATCAGTACACAACATTGAAGGGTATACAGTTCCCCTTCCATTCACAGCTTCTAAAAAACACCTAGAAAGAGATTATGAAGAGTCCTGTTCATCTATTTTGTGCCGTCTGTGCATCATTTGCAATATATGAAGTTGCGCGCCAGATAGACAGCAACATACTTTTCCCAGGGGCATGACAGGGATAGGGCGGATTCAATAGTACTTATCTTTCTGCACGAGAATTCCCAAGCCACTATCAATATGCCACGGAAGGACTTCGCAATATTCACTTATCGAGAAAGGAACCGCAGATCGGGTTCAGACTCAGAAAAATTCGCATCCCCAGATTTCTTTCAGGATGCTGGTCTCGGTTGTTTGCGCTCATTGTCACGTTTCGGATGTTTGGCAATAAACAGACCCCTTACATTGTCCAAAAGAACGGCGATTCGAACATGAGAATGCTTTTGGTGGGCCGATGGAGTCGAACATTGAATGTTCGCCACACTGTCCTACGTACCAACCTCATCCCCTTGTGTATCAACGAATGGGGAGCCATGTTATCCTATGGTCATGGCTGGTTTCAGGGGCCATATTCGCAGAGCAATCAGAAAGCGTGGGCTCGCAGCAACCAATGTAGAGAACAGAACAATCCATCACGCCGTCCTGGAACTGTCCTCGAGCTCATCAGCAACCACGCTACTCTATGATTGTACGACAGCATTGCCTTAATTGGTTTCGCGAGAGCCCTCCTCATCATTGAGGGATAGCCTAACGTATGTAGACCTGAGTCTTGGTTTTTCTATTGCGATGTTCCTGCAAGTATATGGTTGTAAATACAGTATGTTTTAAAAAATGAATTGGTATTCTGCGGCTGCAGTTGGCATGTTTCAATATACCAACATGATGCAGGACGCTCCGATACCTTCCACTGCGGAATCTCGACGCCCTAGCGTTGCCTCAAAGACAACCACCGCTCCTTTTTGCTGGGGAACCTCCACAGCATAGGTACTAACGGCGGGTGCCATCGCCTCGTTCTCGCTCTCCACATGCGAGCCCTCATAGAACCGGGGAAGGCCCGCCCCTGGTTCAATGACGATCAGGACGTTGTAAGTGCCTTTCTCAACCCGGGGCTTGTAGATCGACGTTCCCTTCGGACGATCATGGTATTGAACGAACCATCGGTTCAAGCACGGCCTATCTTCTAGAATTGCGATGGACGGCTTGATTACCTGAATTCGGAGTTAGACCTAGCCGCGGGCAAACAATCTACACTCTCTTACAATGTCAAAGTAGAACATCACGGCATCGCATTCGGCGTTCCAGTGTAGCTGGATCTGTCGGCTCCGTGGCTGTATAGTCTTCCGTTTCTTCTCCAACTCCTGCCGAACATCCGAAACGAGTTTGTCGCCGATGTGCCCCGCCACGACAATACCCGATATCTCCAGGTCTTTATCTAAATCAAAGTTCTCGGACATATTGGTTGATGGTTAGTGTTGATGGTTGTTCGAATCAAGGTGGGGTTAGGTAGGAAGTGGCACTGCACCATGATGCAAGGGGTTGCCAAGTCAGTGCGCGAGTATATATGTACAACGGGATGAATCAATAAAGGTCCAAAATATGGGAGCAGAGGGCGAGAGGATTCTCTACGTGTTATGCATCCATTTTATTTGCTATCCTTGGTACATTCGTGTCCAGGTACTAGTAGTAGATAGTAGTAGTGGCTACGGTAGGGCTATAGGTCGGATCTTTTTCCATCTACACGCTGTATGCATGCAACTGAAAGCGGTATATACGTGGACTAGGCAAAGTGATGCGCTCAGGTCGTTGCGAGAATGCTCGGGCACCGATCATAACCTCTTCTATTTCAGTAACACCTATACCCCGCATATGGTGACCCTTGGCTCTTTGTATGAGGTCTAGAAACTGCGTCCAAGTCACCGTACCACCGAGCTGTACAAGGAAGTCCTTCACGTGACAATCGCCTTGAGTATGTCCCGTGGGTCCGTTGCCATAGGATTTACTGGATTTAAAGGATGGATGTCTGCCGCTTATCGAGTTTTATCTGAGTTCAGAACAATGTGACGTCGGTAGATTACGTTGGGACTAATAAGGGTTAAACGTTGCCAATCAAAAGTAGACGGCCTAAGGCAGCTTCTCTAGTAATAGATTAGTAAGCAACGACCCGCGATACCAGCCAATGAGAAAGCATAACAGCAGCTCATGCCAGTGACTGGTTATCCATCGTCACTCTTCGAGCTTACATAGCAACAATCCCGCGTACCAAAGTTTCTCCCCCGCAACTCCGAACGTCGATCTACTGCTTGTCTTCCCACAGTCACTTAATTATTCGTATAGACCCTTGGTTCCCTTACTTTTCAGCGTTTCAGTGATCCCACACCCGTCTCCGCCGCTATGGCATCCCCTAGTCCCGAGGGTGCCTTGAGCAACTTCCCTCAGGACCCGTCCGAATTCGACAGCGACCCGCGCATTTCCTTCTCGAAACTAGACGACAAGTTCATTTTGGAAACAGAGGATGGCCAGGAGTTTGAATACGATACGGCTTTGAAGCGATGGATTCCGACGGTGTGTGCGCGCTTTCTCTCCAGCTGGTGATTCCTGTTGTGTTTTCCCGGCTGTTGAAATCCTGCTCTGCTGTTGTTTTCTATTGCGACTGCGCTTGACAGCGCCCAAGAACCTTCTTCCGTTGCAAATATGCTGGGATAGCTATGACTGCAAGGACTTTGGATGGTTCGTGAAACTGATCTCGTGGTGGGCGCCGCTTTTGCGCGCCCGTGGGTATTCTCCAGGTAGATGAACAACTGCTCCGACAACAGCAAGAAGCCTATAAGGTTCAGGGCGTAGATGACAGTGACGAAGTCACGGCATCGCAACTCAAGAAGAAGCGCAAGCAGCAAGCCACCAAAGACGAGGTTAGTGGCGTATACATCTTTGGTCATGTCATGCCGCAAGCCTGTGGGACTAACGTTGTGGGTTCTACGTAGGGAAACGGTCAAAAATCGAAGAAACCGCGTGTGAACACAGCGGTCTATGTTACGTCAATTCCTCTTGATGCTGACTTTGAAGAAATCCGATATGTCTTTTCTAAATGTGGCGTCATCGCCGAGGAAATCGACAGCGGCCGCCCACGGATTAAGATGTACATGGATGACGATGGAAAATTCAAGGGCGAAGCTCTCGTTGTGTTCTTTCGCCCGGAATCTGTCAACCTTGCGATCCAGATGCTGGATGACTCGGATTTCAGGTTAGGAGTAACAGGGCCGCAGGGGCCTATGCGGGTTCAACTTGCAGATTTCTCTTACAAAAGCCAACAAGAAGCACCGACCAAGACCAGCGCGAAGGATAAGAGAAAGATCATTCAAAGGACCCAGCGATTAAATAAGTATGGAACCTACAAGTATGAAAGGTTATATTATAGAAGAGTCTTGCTAATGTGGTGGAATAGCAAACTTGCCGATTGGGATGATGACGACCCATCTGCTTTACCAGAGACCAACTCTAAGTTTGACAAGGTCGTGATCTTGAAGCATATGTTCACTCTGAAAGAACTCGATGTACGGGCCTTTCTTCCTTGTTCCTCTTTTTGTATCCTGCTTGCATCGGCTGACAATCCCATTAGGATGATCCAGCAGCCATACTTGACATCAAGGAGGACATCCGTGATGAGTGTTCGAAACTGGGAGAGGTGACGAATGTAGTTCTTTACGATAAGGAAATTGATGGAGTAGTTAGTGTCAAGTTCCATGACCCAGAGGCTGCAAGAAACTGCGTCAAGGTATGTGCATATTGGCTCAGCGTCCTTGGAGGACAAGGAAATACTTGTCTGGATAGCGCTAACGATCGTGCCCTACAGCTCATGGATGGCCGGTTTTTCGCAGGCACCCGCGTTGAGGCTTACATTTCCGATGGTAGCGAGCGATTTAAGAAGACGAACGAGAAACGAGCGGCGCTTGAAGACTTGGCGGAGAGGGGACTTGATGCCGACGAGGATGAGGAAGAGAGACAGCGATTGGATGAATTTGGCACATGGCTCGAGAGCTCTCACACTGTGGAGAACACGGCCAAATAAAGGACTCGACGATCTGGTGGCAGCTGTGCTCTGTCACCTCCAGCTTCAGGAACCTACTCCAGTACTGTGTGCGAACCGTGGGTACCTCCACCGGTGCTGAGCTGTGGAGTCCATTTCTAGAAAGTCCGTGTACTATACCTACTCTGGGGAGTGTAGAATTGTATTTAATTCGCGATTGATTCGTATGTTGGTGTCTGACAGGCAACTTCAAGTTAGATCCGAACCGACTAATATCTTGGAAGGAAACTAGTACTACTGGCACTAAGGCACTAGCGGGCGACCAGTGGCTTGAACCCGCCAACTCAATTGTGGTTCGCTCCTGCAGTCTCGTGACAGCGCTAACCGGAATAGGGGAAGAGCCCCTATTTACCTGCCCGAAAAATAAACTAAGCCAATGTTGACTTGTTGATCCCCTGACGCCCGCACAACGAACAACTTGACGCTCCTCACCGCTCAACTTCAAGTCCATCTTTCCTCCTTCTCTCTTCTCCTCTTCCTCTTAACCTACTCCCTGTCGACTGCCTCCCCCAGTCTATCCAGCAACCCTTCTCTCCAACCACCCCTTCATATCAACACCGTCAATATTCCCTCCACAATGCGTGAGATCGTAAGTTGCTTCCTACCCCCCGGTTCCCCTCTTCAGACGCGTTTCTATTGGGGATACCCCCCTGATAGGACCCCACCTGTTCTCCAACAATATAAGTTTGCTGACGGAGTTTCTTTCATCATATAGGTTCACCTTCAGACCGGTCAGTGTGTAAGTTCGACTATGATTTGATGTCTAGGAGGACCATGGCGACGGATACTAAACGTGATATTGGTGATAGGGTAACCAAATAGGTGCCGCTTTCTGGTATGTCTCGATACCTCCGAGTCAATATGCTTTGGACCTAGGGCCTCAGCAGAAACATGAGCTCGGATATATCATCTCGTGTCTGACACGTGTTTGCTAATACCTTTGCAGGCAGACCATCTCCGGCGAGCACGGCCTCGACGGCTCCGGTGTGTAAGTACAACCCGCGTACACCTCGAATGAACGACGATCAGATGGCATTGGAAGAGTTTTGGATGGGTCTGACGGGAAGGATAGTTACAATGGCTCCTCCGATCTCCAGCTGGAGCGCATGAACGTCTACTTCAACGAGGTGCGTACCTCAAATTTTTCAGCCGCTATAAAAACGCTTTGCAAGTCCTGACCGCTTCTCCAGGCCAGCGGAAACAAGTATGTCCCTCGTGCCGTCCTCGTCGATCTTGAGCCCGGTACCATGGACGCCGTCCGTGCCGGTCCCTTCGGTCAGCTGTTCCGTCCCGACAACTTCGTTTTCGGCCAGTCCGGTGCTGGTAACAACTGGGCCAAGGGTCACTACACCGAGGGTGCCGAATTGGTTGACCAGGTTGTCGATGTTGTCCGTCGCGAGGCTGAGGGTTGCGACTGCCTCCAGGGTTTCCAGATCACCCACTCCCTCGGTGGTGGTACCGGTGCCGGTATGGGTACTCTCCTGATCTCCAAGATCCGTGAGGAGTTCCCCGACCGCATGATGGCCACCTTCTCCGTTGTTCCCTCCCCCAAGGTCTCCGATACCGTTGTTGAGCCTTACAACGCCACTCTTTCCGTCCACCAGCTCGTTGAGCACTCCGACGAGACCTTCTGTATCGACAACGAAGCTCTGTATGACATCTGCATGCGCACCCTCAAGCTCTCCAACCCCTCTTACGGTGACCTGAACCACCTGGTCTCTGCTGTCATGTCCGGCGTGACCACCTGTCTCCGTTTCCCCGGTCAGCTCAACTCTGATCTTCGCAAGTTGGCCGTCAACATGGTTCCTTTCCCTCGTCTCCACTTCTTCATGGTCGGCTTCGCTCCCCTGACCAGCCGTGGCGCCCACTCTTTCCGTGCCGTCTCCGTTCCTGAGTTGACCCAGCAGATGTTCGACCCCAAGAACATGATGGCTGCTTCTGACTTCCGCAACGGCCGTTACCTCACCTGCTCTGCCATCTTGTACGTGGCCTTATTTTTATTTGTTCTTCCCTCTTTTGTTCTAAAACTGACCCTTGTTCTTTAGCCGCGGAAAGGTCTCCATGAAGGAGGTTGAGGACCAGATGCGCAACATCCAGAGCAAGAACCAGACCTACTTCGTTGAGTGGATCCCCAACAACATCCAGACCGCCCTGTGCTCCATTCCTCCCCGTGGTCTCAAGATGTCCTCCACCTTCATCGGAAACTCCACCTCCATCCAGGAGCTCTTCAAGCGTGTCGGCGACCAGTTCACTGCTATGTTCCGTCGCAAGGCTTTCTTGCA